GGGGGGGCTGTGCCTCCCGCAGCGTCGCGGGCTCTCCGTGATGCTGGGACACAAGGGTCGCTGTCAGGTCGTGCTTCTCATGGGGCAACCCTCCCTGGGGGGCGAGGCGAGAGTCTACCCCGGCTTTCGTGAGGGGACAGGGGGCCGAGTGTGTCATTCCCCCATACCACTCGGGAAGAGATTGGGATCTCCTGGTGGTGTCCTCCCTGGAGCAAGGGACCAAGGATGAGGTATCTGTCGTATTTTCAGGAAGCACTGTCAAAGAGAGAAGTACTTCCCCGTGTCTTTGTGTCCTGTCTCGACTAACAGTGTGGCAGGAGGCTGAAGGTTTCCTTTGTAGGTAGAGGTGATGGTCCAAGGTGCAGCCACAGGGATGAGAAGAGAGGCCTGATGAACAGGCTGCATTTTAAAGAAGGAGCCATAGGATACTTGTAGAGGAGACTTTATACGTTTCTGGCTTGAGTTGCTGGGTGCTTGAGATGTCCTTTGGATTATTGGAGTCTAAGTATTTTCAGTCAAAGTGTTCTGTGGGGGAGCTTTGTGGAACAGTATCATGAAATTTCAGGAACTGATGTGTCTGAGTTCTAGTAAATGTATAGTATAAAGTGAGCTTGTTCCTGGTATCACCTGATACGATTGTTTTTACATAGAAGACAAAACAATGAAAATGTTTAATGACTGCTATGGAGAACAGAGCTTTCAGTGTGTTAGCAAGTGACAAGAAGGCACTGCTCTATAATGGTTGTGTAGTGGTCTTGGTGAATTGTTCACTTCATGAACTTAATATAAGCAAAATGTAATGGGTATATCTTACAGGCTTTGAAAGATTCTACTCCTAATTTGACAATTTCTAGCCTTAGCAGTAAAGATAACTTACTTTGGTGATGATAGTGGCTTCTTCCTTTACACTTTACAATCCTTTACAATCCTAGCTGAATTAGGCACTATGTTAAATACCTTATAGGCAACTGTTGGCAGGGAAAGTGCACAAGATGGCTGAAGGTGCTAGGAGAATTGGCTGGTGGACTATAATATGCTACCGTCATCTCACTTGTATCATTTAAACTTAGCACTGAACAAGCACAAGACTTAGTGTCATGTTTTGCTCAGAGCGCCTCACCTTACCAGGAGGGTAGTTAGGCACTGTATATTTGCTGGCTATTTCAGGCTGTCTTACAAGCTCTTGTTATATGCTATTGCTTTTGCAGTTGGAGGAGGCGTTGTTGTGGAAGATCAGCCAGATGTGAGTGCAGTATTGTCTGCCTACAATCAGCAGGGAGACCCAACACTGTATGAGGAATACTACAGTGGACTGAAACACTTCATTGAATGTTCCCTGGACTGTCATCGAGCAGAATTATCTCAGCTCTTTTATCCTCTCTTTGTGCACATGTACTTGGAATTGGTCTACAATCAACATGAGAGTGAAGCAAAGTCTTTTTTTGAAAGGTAATTTATTTTCATTTCTGCATTTACATTATTTTGTATTTGCTACTTTGATTAAATCTGTGAGCTATAATAGCATAGGCTTTTGCATATATATACACACGCACATATTATTTTCTTCTCTGACATTGGAGGGATTTAGAATCTGAAGTAATGGTGCCATGGATTACAGAAACTGTTCTTAAATCCTTTTCCAATCTCCTACGTTAGAAAGATGTGCAAACTATATGCTTTTGAACTGTCCATGTGCAGATTTTGAATGATCTTTATGGTTTGCTGGTCAGATGCTGCTGCTTGAGAGAAAGATTATATTTTTTTTTAGCACTGGAAAATTGCAGGGAGATACCAAAGTAACGTGCGCTATAAGTATTTGCTAATGTCATAGCATGTATGGCCAGGTTCGATGAGGCTTTGAGCAACCTGATCTAGTGGGAGGTGTCCCTGCCCATGGCAGGGGCATTGGAACTAGATGATCTTTAAGGTCCCTTCCAACCTAAACCATTCTATGTATATTGAAATTCTTCACATAAAATTAAAGGAACTAATTTATGGCTAATCTACAATTTTCTGTGCTATTACTATGCTTAATTTCTTTATCACTTGAGAAAACTAAATTTCATTTGTTTTTTGGATTCAGACAAATTATGAAATATTTTAATCTAAAAGAATAACTTTGTCTCCCTCCAATACGGCCAGCAAAAATGGTTCTGTAAATAGTTAAAATGTTCCCTGCCACAGCAATTTTATAACATGGTTTCAGTAAAAATGGAAAACTCTAGACATATGTTAGCTATTATATAATACATGTGGAGAGCGAGAAACATATTCACTGTGAAATGTGCATATTCATATAATGAATCAGATATAAATACATCCAATAGTCTTGCGTAATAAAAAATGCCCTGTACTTTATGATACCACAAATTAGAGTTTCATTTCTGTAAATAAACATGTTAGTGTAACTATTTACTTCAGGCAAGAACCCTTTGGGTGTATGAAATTCTGTGAGGTTCCATTTGGGTGTTCTCTTCATCTTGGTTTTTAACTGTTGAACGCTCTTGTTGTATACAGTAAGTCACTGGTGTATCTTCCTCAGGGGGAAATTTATTTCAGCAGAAAAATAATCCCATATGTAGTCAGTAGCTTCCAAAAGGTCCTTACTTATATATTCCATGTTACAGTAATGTAAATAAGCATGCACTTAAGAGATAATGTTTTTGGAATAAATCTTTTATCATGTCTTAAATTGTTTCAATAGATTTCATGGGGATCAGGAGTGCTATTACCAGGATGACCTGCGTGTATTATCTAGCTTAACCAAAAAAGAACATATGAAAGGTAACGAGACCATGCTGGATTTCCGAACAAGCAAGTTTGTGCTGCGTATTTCCCGTGACTCTTACCAACTCTTGAAGAGGCATCTTCAGGAAAAGCAGAACAATCAGATCTGGAACATTGTTCAGGAACATCTTTACATTGATATCTTTGACGGAATGCCTCGCAGTAAACAACAGATAGATGCTATGGTTGGAAGCTTGGCTGGGGAGGCAAAACGAGAGGCTAATAAAGCAAAGGTAGGAGGGAAAGATTCTTGCATGCTTATAATTGAACAATTCTCCCGAGTTTTTCAGGGAAATACCTTAGTATAGACTGACATATGTCACTTGAGATATTAAAAGGCAGCGTGAACAGAACAAAGGAAGAGAACTGTACAAATAGTTGTTGGCAGGAGCAGAGAGATCAAGATGTGTCACTGTCTGGTAGAAGAAAGCGTTGAACCCCTTTGAGAGAACCTTGCATTCAGCCCACTGAACTAAACGTAAACTAACTCCTGAAGTACTTTCTGGTTTTAAAATGGACACCTGACTATTAGGCTTCCTGTCTTGTACAACAGATGTATTTCTTACTTACTGCCAGTTGTTACTGCAAGGGCTGTTTGTGTAGATCTTGACAGTGTAGTACAACAGTACTATACAGATAAACTATGTCAGCTGTAGGGATTCTTCTTTAAAGAAGTGCTAAGAAGTGGTGGGGGAACTTACAGTTGTCCAGATCAGTTGCTGGGTAAAACAGCAGAACGTGTACTACGTTTGCTATGGGCTAACCAGTAATGTATGCAGTAATATAAAGATAGCAGTTTTAAAGGGGCACCTCTATTGTGTGGACTACTACATTGAAAAGTTTCCATTAAAAAAAGTAGTTTTCAGTAAGAACAGCAATGACTGTTTTATCTCGTGTATTTTACTGGCTTGCAGGTTTTCTTTGGCTTATTGAAAGAACCAGAGTTCGATGTGCCTTTGGATGATGAAGATGAAGAAGGAGAAAATGAGGAAGGAAAGCCAAAGAAGAAAAAACCCAAAAAAGACAGTGTAGGATCAAAAAGTAAAAAACAAGACCCTAATGCTCCTCCCCAAAACAGGTACCAAGGGCATGTAGAGAAGTCTTGTTAAATCCAGTCTTGTCGTGCCAAATCTGCATTGCTGTTCGCATGACATTTTTAGCTCTTTGGCCATTTCAGCTGTACACAGTTTAGCAATAAGACTTCTCAGGGAGGTAATGGAAAGCTCAGCATTTAACCTTTTGTCTTTGCCCTTCAAGACGATCTAGATTTCCCTTGGTAAAATTTCACTTGGTTACCCACTAATCTTTTCAGGTCATACTCAGTTCTCTATCTCGTTCCATTGCCTGTCTGAAACTCTTAAAGCTACTGGCTCTTATTCTCATCAGCTAATCTCTTATGTAATCTTTCATTTTTTCTAATTCTTGCTTCATATTTGAATATTGAGGTGTAGAGTTGCAAGCAAAGGTTTCTCTTTCTCTGTTTAGATTAACAATATGTAAGGTGCTTCTAATTTGTAAAAATGAATGCTTCTTGCAGAATTCCTCTGCCTGAACTGAAAGACTCTGACAAGCTGGATAAAGTAATGAATATGAAGGAAGCTGCAAGGCGCGTGCGTCTTGGCCCAGAGTGCCTGCCCTCCATCTGTTTCTACACGTTCCTTAATGCTTACCAGGTTGGTAAAAGAAGAGTTTGGGTAATATGGAAAAGGGAATCAAAATTCTTAACAATTCTAAACATGCCTCTTAATAGAGAAAGAAGACTTAACAGAATTGGCGAGGGTTATTGGAGTATTTGAAAGGTTGTGTTGCAAAGTTTATATTCCAAAATCTTCAAAATTCTCTTTAAAGATTCCATAAACTATTTGATTTCTGTGGTCCTTGGTTTTGCTCTGGTTTTGTCATAATTCCTTCTTTTGCATTTCCTGTGGGCAACTAAATGGTTTGCACCAAAGCCCAGGAAAACAGTACTATTTTGTCACTATTGACTGTGCTTCATTCATATAACTTTATTTTTAATGGTGAAAAAATGTATGTGTTTATGTCTATCCTAGAATAAGTCCCTCTTATTTTTGTAAATAAGTTGAGTTAATTTTCTTATTTGTACTTAGGATTTTGTAATGTTTGAAGTGCATCATGAAAGATAAAAACAATATAAATGGATATTTTCTGTTTAGGGTCTGACTGCAGTGGATATTACAGATGACTCTAGCATGATTGTAGGAGGTTTTGCTGACTCTACTGTCAGAGTCTGGTCCGTGACTCCGAAAAAGCTACGTAGTGTGAAAACAGCAGCAGGTAATTAAGACAATGATACTTAATACGAGCACGCATGACTTGTGACAGCTGTGTTTTGTGTGAACAGAGAAAGATGTCTGTGGCAGAAGAGTTGTCTTCAGCAGTTAAAAGCTTTCAGTCTGAAGAAACAGTTATGTGCACAGATGTATGATTGCATCTTATGGACTACCAATAGAAACATTTTTAAAGGAATGAGAAATCTGGTTGTGTACACCTGCTGTGAGGTGGTCAGAGCACGGAGCTTGAAACTAGCCGTAACTAACATGGAACTAGCCATCTTGCTTTTTAACTGTATGGTAACTACAGGGTGCAGTAGACTTTTGGGTTTAGGTGATCTAGGGAGAGACTAGAGATACCCTGGGGGAAATTATAGGATGGAACTCTAAGAAGGATGGTGGAAAATATCCTGTAGCTCAACACCTACACAAATTCATGGAAACCAGGTTTCTTTAATTCTTTAATACATTGTTTATGTAACAATGTGTTGCGGTTGAAGCTAGACGCCATGCAAACTTTTCTTAATTTGGATATTTAACTGAGATGTGGTCATGATATTCAGCGAACAGTAGCCTACAAACGAAAAGTTACTTTGTATGTAGTGTGCAGCTGTCAAAGCACATCTGAAAAGCATCTTCATGGCATATTACCTTTGTGGGAAAAGGCATGAAAAATTGGCATCTCTATCAAGAAGATGTTGTTGTGTTTGGAGGCTGAACGATTATTCATGAAAAATAACACACATCAGGATTAATTTATTTTAGTCTTAGTGAAGACTTAAGAAAGAGTGATTATTTAGGTAAAATATTATTTTCATCTTTTACAATAGTAAAAAATATTTTAAATGCCATTGGATATTTCAGACTTAACAGTTCCCAGGTACTCTGTCACATTCGTATCGTACTGGCCTCTTTTACAGATAATACTATTTGTTTTCCTGTTCATGGCATTTATCTTTGAACTTCTAACAGTTATACATGAACTTTGAAATATTGCAGACCTCAGTCTCATCGACAAAGAATCAGACGATGTCTTGGAGAGGATCATGGATGAGAAAACAGCAAGTGAGTTGAAGATTTTATATGGTCACAGTGGACCTGTCTATGGCACCAGCTTCAGTCCTGATAGGTAAAATAAGTTTACAAGCTAACTGGTTTGCTTGTCTTGAGTTTTGATTGTATACTACTGAATGCAAACATGTTCTTAATGCAGCTTTTTCCAGAATGTTAAAGCAATTCTTTATGCAGTTTATAAGAAATTGTGTGCGAGTGTAAGTGCTTGTTATGCTCAGAGTGTTGGGCACTGTCAGCTATTACTGAAATCAACTGGAGCTGAGGATGCTGACATAGTTTTTGAGGTTCAAGACTTAGACGGCAAAATAGACCATCATTTTGCAAATTGTTGTTTAAGTCAGCTTTTAACTAACTGAATTGTAGGAGGAAAAATACTGCAGCACTGATTGTGCTTACACTATTGCAAACCATAAAGCCAAACTGAGTAGCTTATGGTTGCATTTCTCATATTCTATTGAGACTTTTATTTTTCAAAATGCATGGAATAGTATCTTTAAAATAAGAGATTTAAAACCATTATGTAATTATGAGAGTCTGAAGAGTAGAAAGGAGGTTTAGATGTCTAAAGTTTTGCTTTTGCATGTGTCTAGCCAGGAACCAATCATCACAGAAATGCAACTGAGAAGTAAACTTTGTGTGCAACATGAATATAGAGTATAACTATGAATTGAGAATGTGAACATGATATGAATTCTCTTTCAGGGAATCCTGGAATTCTGTTTGGAGTTATATTAAAAGATTATATTTTTTTAAGTAACATAGTAAAGCAGTTTACTAGTCATTTTTTCATTTAACTGGAATTCCTGAGTAAAGCCCAGCTCTGTTGGTTTTTGAGTTGGTTTTTTTTTTTTTCTTTCCCTCCCCTAAGTATTGCTGTAAGTGTCATCAGAATTAGTCCTCAACATCCAAATGTCTCTTTTTTTGCATAAGGGCTTAGGACTGGATTCTGCTTGAATTGGTTATTGTCGCTTACACCCCCAAAATACTGATTTATATGAGACATGCTGAACAGTTGCTGTTCAGTGGACAATCTTTCTTATCATAGACATCTCACAGCATTTATGCAATGGTTATACAGTCCATGTGTAAGTTTGGTATGTAATATGCTATACTCTCTCCTGTGACAGGAATTACCTGTTGTCCTGTTCTGAGGATGGCACTGTCAGATTGTGGAGTCTCCAAACATTCACATGTTTGGTGGGCTATAAAGGACACAACTACCCAGTATGGGATACACAGTTCTCTCCTTATGGTTATTACTTTGTGTCAGGAGGACATGACAGAGTGGCTCGGTAAGAAACTGGATGGCTTTTTTACTTGTTTGGATAAGTTTGTGGTGGATTAACCCTGAAAGTGATTAGCTGATATACTCTAGCCTAACCTATTACTGGAAATAAATTTTATTTCATGTCAATTAAAATACTGAACAAATGTTTTAATGTCAGGGTTTGGTTTTTTGGTTTTCGGCACAGATCAGATTATCTGATGTCTAAAGAGATAGTGTCTTCTTACATGACCATCTGACTATAAGTGTTCTCTTCTAGTTGTTTAACAACTTGACAGAATATTCTTTACTTCTCCCATATTAAAAGTGTACTTTTCCAAAACAGATCCTCCTAATTCAATAAACTGCGTAATTACTTCCTTTTATCCCTCCTTGTACAACAGATACTAAACTTCATTAGGGTTCTTTTCATTAATAAAGCTTTTATTTTCAGACTGTGGGCAACAGATCACTACCAGCCTTTACGGATATTTGCTGGCCATCTTGCTGATGTGACGTGTACCCGATTTCATCCAAACTCTAACTATATTGCCACGGGCTCAGCAGACAGGACTGTACGGCTCTGGGATGTTTTGAATGGAAATTGTGTAAGAATATTCACTGGACATAAGGTAAAGGGATATCACTCACAGTGTGAAAGTCATTCTTTTTCTGCGATGCAATTCTGAAGAGTAGTATCCAGAACAAATACAGCTTGACTGACCGAAGTATCCAGAACAAATACAGCTTGACTGACCAAATGACTGAATGTTGAGTAGACTTAACTAACTTGTTTGTTCCCCCCACAATGTCTGTTTTAGGGACCAATTCATTCATTGGCATTTTCTCCCAATGGACGATTCCTGGCTACTGGAGCAACAGATGGAAGAGTTCTGCTGTGGGATATTGGACATGGCTTGATGGTTGGAGAATTGAAAGGGCACACTGACACTATCTACGCGCTCAGATTCAGTAGAGATGGGGAGATTTTAGCATCAGGTAAAATTCACTGGAAACAGTGAAGGTGCTGTTATGTTCCATAAGTTTGAAGAGCAATGATGTAATTGGTTCCTTAAATTGAGGAAGACAAAGTAGAATCACTTGCTTAGCAAAAGCAGCAACTTAAAACTGCTGGTACAAGGCGAGTACTTCACTGGACTGTGCAGTATGACCCCTCGCTGTTCCAGAAACTGAAGGAAAGGTGTTGTGCAGTTCAACAATAGTGAAGGTTGGGATTTGCGTGCAGTGTTGGGGGTGGAATCTGAAGTTAGAAATAACTCTAGGGCAGACAAGAAGAGGGTGGGCTAGAGAGGCACAGGATGCTGTAATGGGAGTGGGGCATGCAGCAGGACTAAAAAGAAGAGAGAGAAAAGGATAGAAAGGAAGATGAATTATCCAGACCCTTACTATTTCTTCATGGTAGATTTTTTTTTTTATATATAGATGTGTGTGTGCAATATTTACAATCAAGTCTATAAGCAGCAGAACTTGTGAAGCCTGCTTGTTTTTCCTGCCTGTCCATGTGGATTCTCTGGTGTCTAATATAGCAGAGCTCCTTTGCTGGTTTTCCCTTCATGGAGGCACAAAGTTTTGTCTCTCCATGATTAGTGGACTGTTTTCTTAAAACGTATAGGAATTTAATGAATTTGAAACTTGTTCTGTTCTCTACCAATCCAAACCTAAATGTTTTGAGAGAGTAGTTCTTTGTGCTTTGTGCACAGGGCATTCAGGTTGGATTACAGGAAAGCTGACATCCTAGTAGCTTTTATTTGTGCATTCAGTTTGTCAGAGACTTGCTAAAGCCTGTTTCCTTGCAGGATGAGGGCGTAAGTCTACAGTTATGAGCAAACCTGCTTTTTGAGCCTTAATTTCTGTTAACTTGCTCCCCAGTAACTTTTTTTATGTACCTTTTTTATTAATAAAAGGACTTAAAACTGTTCTTTTTTCTTTTTAGGTTCAATGGATAACACAGTTCGCCTGTGGGATGCTGTGAAAGCATTTGAAGATTTAGAAACGGATGACTTTACTACTGCCACTGGACATATAAACTTGCCTGAAAACTCCCAGGACTTGTTACTAGGTACATACATGACCAAATCAACTCCTGTTGTACACCTCCATTTTACACGCAGAAACTTGCTGCTGGCTGCGGGAGCCTACAGTTCACAGTGAATTGGGAAGCTGTGAGAATGCCTGTGCCAAGCCATTGCAGTAGCAACCTCAGGATGGGAGAAGAGGAAGAACGTCTTGTACAGGTGGACCCCACTAGTTTGTTGCAGGAAAAACAAAACTATGTAAACTAATGCAAGCAGTGTCTTCTCAGTTCTGCTGTTTCATATTTATCCACAGTTTGAAAATGCTGGAGATTGACAAGACATCGTGGCTGTAAAAGGAAGGAATTGTTCATGGTGCTTTTGATAAAAAAAAAAAAACAAACCTATATGAAAATGTCTGTCTCCTCTGAGAGATGGTATTGAGCTCTGCTGAAACTTGTGGAAAGTTAACAGCCTTAGTATGTGTTCTCAAATGATTTTTTTTTTTTTTAAAGCACTTAATTTATGGTTAGCAAATGTTTAATCAGTCTCAGACACAAGCAAAAACTGTTCAGTTTTAGTAAAGAATGTAGTTTAACTCACTATCGTCTGGGCTGGGCAACAGGTATGGTGAGGGTATCACAGCAACAAATAGGGCATTGAAAAAGCATGTCCTACAGGCAGAGGCTTGTGGGGGACTGCTGTGAAGTTTCATGTGTGGGTTTTATCCATCCAAATACGAAGTCCTGAAAAGTTTCAAACTCCTGTGGTCTTTTGAGGTATGAGAAAGGCAGATCTTGTTATTCTGTTTTCACAGGTAGCCAACGCTGTAAGGGTGGTAAGCAACCACAAGTGCAATGTGAACTTTATTTACTTTCATACTTTTATTGTATGAAGGAAAAAAAAGGGGGGGGGGACGGGACTGAGGCACAACTGCAATATCCATTAATAAAAAAGTGGACTTTTAACCCTTTTACATTGTGTCAGAACTAAAAGAACTTTAAAAACCCGCGTGAGGTTTAATGTATCAAAATGTAGCCAAGAAATTGAAACATTATTGCAGAGTAAGAGTGTTAATCAGTCCTAAGTGTATTATCAGTTTTCTTTTGAAAGGCCAGCTTGCCTGCTGACTTTGTTGAAGTGACAATTTCCACCTACAAAAATATTGTACCCTAGTAAGTCCTCCTAGACAGCTGATAAAGCTCAGCGCTTTATTTCTAAGGAGGAGGAAAACATGCAAAGCATTGGGAAGTATAACTTTTAACTTTTTTTGGGGTCTTTGGACAGAAACCACCACCACCAAAGGGCAGGCCCAGTTTGGTGTGGTTTTGGGTTTGTGGGTGTTTGTTTGTTTGTTTGTTTGTTTTTTAAATCTCTTACAAACTGTATACAGGGAAATCTATTTTGTGTTCCTCACTACTTTCCAGTAAGGGCTTGGACACTTGAACAGTCTGCTGGCTCTCTAGTGAAAATAAAAACAAGACTTGACATTTCTGAGGTAAATAGAGAACTACCTCCCTTCTCTGAATCTAATTCTTGGAGTAAAGATATATTACAGGCATTATACATCAACATAAAGGGTGGAAAATTCATTAGGAAGATCACCTGGAACTTCTCTTTAAAGAAAAAGGTTAAAACTAAATTATTATGGGTGTTTGTTTTGGTTTTTTTTTTGTGTAATTGTACCTCAACAAAATTTATTTGCTTTTAATTGGATCTCAGTTGGATTTAAGTACAGTTATGGTGAGTCAAACAAGTGACCTACAACAAAGCATGTACAGTTTTGACAGGTTAAAGAAAACACTGCCGCATTCTGCCTTTGTATTTTGTACAGTTTTATACTTTTGATATTATAATAAATACTAAAACCACACAGTTTGGGTCTGTATGTTACAAGAAGCTATTTTCTTCCTTTGGTAGCTGCAATGGAAGCAAGAGCAATGCTTGTAACTGTGAGCAATCTGCTATGAGAAACAAATACAGAAATTGTTAAATTGATGATTAGCCATTTCATGTAAATCTTGTTCTAATGGTAGGTGATGGGTTGTAGCTAATTAGATCTAACCATTGCTGTACCAGTGCAATATTCCTCTAGAAAACTGTATACAGCAAAGGCTATTTACGCAAACAAACTCAGAGGGGAATAAGATGACTAGATTTATTCAGAAGGTCCAGCATGTACAAATAGCTTTAAGAATACATGAACTACAGTGAGAGAGCACAAAGACTCTGTAATTTCTCTCTCCTTTTTTTCCAGCAATCATGTATCTTCCTGGTGCCCTCTTTGGGAAGTGTACTTGCAGGCTTTAGCATCAGAAGTCCCAGGTTCAAACCCTGCTGCTGGCACCCTTCCACAAAGCACAGTGCTGTATAATCACTCTTGCACACCAGAACTTATGTGACATCTAAGAAAGGTACTGAGTTTTCATTGAGATATATAAAGACACTGCGGAGAATGGGATAGAAAAGTTTTAGTGTTGGGCAGGGAGGGAGCTGTATGTAACTACCTGTGGTAAGAACACCTCATTTATTAAGAATAAGCACTGAACTGCTTAAGCCACTGTTTATGAACATGCAGAGTTATGAGAGCTTAACATCAGCAAAGTAAGCCACTTTCTTTCCAGCAGTTACCTCTGCAAGACAGGCCAGTAACAGAAAAAGCTTAAATACCATAATTTGATCGGTCTATGTTGGGAGGTTTTACATCAAAACCAAACAGGTTCTATGTAAAATATGGACAACTGAGGCAGAAGTTGTAATCTGTGTTGTATTAGTAACAGTGAGGAAGTCATGGTTTCCATGTAAGCTACTAGCTTGGAATGCAAAATAGGAGCAACCAGGTAACTGCAAACCACATAGGCTTACTGTTTTCCACTATGACATGGCAGTGCAGAGATGCATTGATCAGCTATAAGCTCTGTGCTGGTATTATGGTCATGCTGCTGAGGTCTTTCCTAGGTTACTATCAGGTGCTCAGAACACTTTAGGATGTGTTAAAACAGCAGAAGAATTTACTTAAAATAGTAATGACAGGAATCAGCTACTCCATCTCCACTACAAATAAGTATTTTTGACAGAAGGGAAAAAAAAAGGTGCCACATTTATGCTTTTTTACACCATTTCATATTTCAAATAAAACAAGCAATTATTTTATTAGCCATAACAGGTCATCAGCTTTCATTACACTGACACAGACTGGAGGTTCAGACATGCCAGCAACCTGCCAAGAGAAGAGAGATCAAACATAGCAAGTCTTGCACAGTGGTACTAGTAACTGAGCATCCCCCTTCCCCAAGCCCAAACAATTTTAGTTATAAGCAGGCACATTTCAGGAAGAAATAACTGATGTCCCTTTAACATACAGCAATGATGCTGTCTCTGATATTTTCTACCCCTTTTTGCAGACTACGAAGGCAGCTCATAGGTTATTTTCCAAAATGCCATTTCAGTGGAAATTTTGTATTTGAAAGTGACTCTAGAATTTTGTGACACTTGGTTGTTGCTATACAAGAACAAGTCCAATCACTTCTATACAGGCCTTGCATAATCAGGTGTGCTAATATATACAGTTCCATTGTATGGTGCTCCTTTACTCTGTTCAAAGTAAGGTTTTAACAGACTTCTCTAATACAATTAAGAAACAAGTCCTAAAGCACTACCTTGTTACTTCAAGAACCTAAAAAGCAACAATTACCCCTATTTTACAGCAAAAGGGCAGACCAGAGGCACCTAACAGTTGCAAGCAAAGCCTGATATACTTAGCTGCAACATCCTTCCATTCCTCCTTCCTTGCTTACTCTTCCTCCCTGCATGCTGTCCCTAGTCCCACTTACCATGGGACAAAAAAGAATATTGGTATCCCATACTTTCTGCATCCCCCTTTAACGACCTACTTCATTCGGAATGCCCCCTAATAAGCTGATGCTATAGTTTAGTTGAGGTTTAAAATGATAAATACAAAGTTCACATGCCTGTGTTTCTCTAATTACACTGTATTATTAGCAACTTGTCCTTTGTCAGTCTTTCTTCCTGGGCTAGCATTGAAGCATGTTGGTCCTGGAAGAACACCAGTCACTTACCATTTACTTATCTGCCACAGCAGGAGTTTTCTTTTTAGGTCTAAGCTTGAAATACAAGACGAGCATTGCAACACCCGTGTATGTTGCTATTACATACTGGAAAACATAACAGTTAAATTTAGTTTCAGTCTAAAACCCAGAAAATACCATTATACTGACTACAAAAGTTAAAATACATAATACGTACATTCCTCCTGCCTGTGATGGTGTAGGAATTGAAGTACTTCTGAAATCCAGTGAACTGGTGTTGAGATCCCGAGTCATGGCCAGCCATGGCTGCTTGTCCTAACAAGCAATAAAGAACAGTTAACAAATTTAAAGTAAGTTGGACAGGATCAATAGGAAAATCAAAGTAATCTCTGCACTAAGCTAAATAATTCCGCTGTCAGCTATTAAATTTGCTTTCAGGACATTCAACAGACAGTGGATACACGTAGGGATCAGGCAGATTCAGAGTCTGCTTAAACAGGTGACACAAGCAAATAAGCAAATGAGGGGTTTTGATTTATGATTTTCAGAGTTCATTCAACCAAGTTTACACATGACAAAAAATAACAAATTAGTATGGTGATGAATTCCTCAAAGCACTTATAAAGAAGAGACCTGCCAGTCCTGCCTACGCAAACATTCAATACACACAAATTTGTACCAATTGTTCAGGAATCTGCAATACCTAATTAAGATAAATCTTCACTAGTTTAGCTAAGAAACAGCTTCAATTACATACCCAAAAACTTGGTGCCATGATTCAGAATACACCACTACTCTGTTTTGTGATTCAAAATGCTGTTTTACAACTTTTACACCACATTAGAGTGCAAGTGTTGTTAATAAGAACTGCCCTGCTCTCAGCTGCACATTTGCATTGCATCTACTTGCCCACCTTAGTATTCACAGATCTGGATAAAAATATATGGGTTTTTTTTCTAGTTAGTTTTCAGCTAGATCAGCAAGTTACTTGAGCCAGCTACAAAGCCTCGGATGTGCTTTCACAGGAACAACAAAAACACTAAGTACATGAGGGCACACTTCTGTATTTTGTCTGTGTCTGCACCAGTTTCAGGTGTACTGTAAGAAATTCATTAACACAAAAGCCTGGCATGGCTACAGTAGCATACTTGCAGGCTCACTGAATGGTTGAGGTTAGCACCTCTGGAGATTGCGTAGTCCAACCCCAACCTGCTCAAAGCTGGGACAGCTACAGCAGGTCACTCAGAAACATGCCCCATCAGGTTTTTAATATCTTCAGAGATGGAGACTCCACAACTGCTCTGGAGAACCTGTTCCAGTGCTTAATCACCCTTACAA